TTAAACTTCACAAGTTGATTCTAAAATTCAACTGAAAATACAAGGAACCAGAATAGTCAGAAGAATCTTGAAGGAAAAAAAGTACAAGACTTACTTAATGATTTCGAAGTTTATTACAAAGTTGCAATAGGCCATAGTGGTATAAGGATAAGACATACATATCAGTAGAACAGAACTGAGAATCCAGAAATAAACCCTTACATTTATAGTCAATTGATTTTTCACAAAAGCACCAAAAAATATTCAAGGGAAAAACAATAGTCTCTTTAACAAATTGTGCTGGCATAAATGAATATACATACATAGGCAAAAAAATTCTGTATCTGTATTATACCATACTAAAAACTACTCAAAATGGATCAAAGACCTAAATCTCAGAGCTAGAACCATAAAACTCTTAGAAGTATAGAATAAATCATCATGATTTTGAAATAAGCAATAGTTTCTTTGATATGAAATCAAAAGCATGGTGACAAATGAAAAAATGAAAATAAAAGCTTTTGGGGCCAGGAATGGTGATGTATAGCTATAATCCCAGCTACTCAGAAGGCAGAGATTCACAGAGGTTAGATTAGGCCAAAAAACAAATAAATAAAATAACAAAATAGTCAAGGTTCCATCCAAAAATAACTAAAGCAAAGGAAGTTTGTGGTACATGGTTCAATTAGTATCATGCCTGCCTACCAATAGTGAGGTCCTGAATTCAAACCCCAGTACTGCTAAATAAATAAATACATAAACAAATACATAAATAAAAGCTTCTATGCTTCAAAGAACAGCACTGAGAAAGTAAGAAGCTAACCAAAAGAATGGGAGAAAATACATGTATATCAGGTATCTAATAAGGGACTTGTAAACAAAGTATAACAAAACTCTTATAGATCAACAACAAAAAGACAAGCAACTCAATTTAAAAATGAGAGAGGGAGCTAAATGGACATTTTTCAAAAAAAGATACAAATGAACAATAAGCACATAAAAGAACACTTAATATCAGTTAGTTATTAGGAAATGTATATTGAAACCATAATGACATACTATTTCACACCCACTAAGTTGGAAGTATGAAGGGAAAGAAAAGAAAAAGAGAGTGGAGTGGGTTAAGGAGAAAGAAAGGAAGCTGAACCTGTGGACTTAGTCCAAGGAAGGAAAGAAATGATGGTGAGAGGATATATGAATACATTGCTTGTGGGAATGTAAAAACAATGCGGCATTTGGAAAACAGAGCAGCATTTTAAAAAAAAAAACTTAAGTTACCACATAACACAGCAATTCTAATCATAAGTATCTACTCCCAAAAATGGAAAAAAAAAATACATCCACACAGAAACTTATACAAGAATGTTTACGACAACATTATTTACAATAGTCAAAAAGTGGTAACAACCCAAATGTCTTCGATGTGAATGGATAAACACAATGTGGTATATGTTCAAGGGATGGTATACAATTTGGCAAAAAAAAAAAAAAAAAAAGTACTAATAGATGCTACAACATGTAAGCTAGGTAGGGTAGGTAAATGCTCTGTAGGGTAGGTAAGTGCTCTACCACTTGAGCCAGTTCCCTAGCCCTTCATGTATCAAAACTTTATGCTCAATGAAAATCATACACAAAAGAACATACACATTCATATGATTCTGTTAATATGTAATACTGAGAAAGTGAAATCCTAAAAAGACATAAACTGGATTAGTGGTTGCCTAAGGCTGTGAGTGAGAATGCAAAGTGGCTATAAATGAATATGCAGTTTCTTTTGGGGCATGATGGAAATGTTCTAAAACCATCACTACATTGTAGTGATGACTGCACAACTCTGCAAATATATGAAAAATTTCTTAATTATGATTATAAAATTAAAATTGGTACTTTCATTATATGTAAATTATATCAAATAAAACCTACAAAAAGACACAGAATGATATTATAATCTTTAATGTGAAATCAAACACAAAAGATAGGGTTAGAGGCACCAAAGTTAATACATTCATGGAATTGTGAAAATTAAAGACAATTCAGACTGCCTGGTATATAATAAGCAGTCAGTATATATTAGTTGCCATACTTTTAAATAGAAGGTGCTCAGTTCTAACTTGATGATATTGCTCAGATGTTCTACAGTTGATATGCTAAAAGCCCCAAAAGGAGTAATTCCTGGTGTAAAACCAATAGTATTACTTGAAAAGTATGTCACCTTACAAGAGAACTAAGTCCATAGCTTATCAGTAGTGAAAATGAGATCAACAGAAAGGAAAAAAAATCCCTTTGGAATAGACAAACCAAATTGATTCCTAAAAACAATGATTCTATCCAACAGAATTTTACAAAGATATGAACACATGCCCTTTGTGCTGTGAAGCAAATACATGACAATTTCCCAACCCTTTTCATTGTTTTGAACCAAGTTACTTCCTAGCCCTACCTAAAAATTCAACTCTCACAACGCAGTTTCATCCAAATACCTCTCCATGTTGTACACCTCCTCAGCTTCTAGACCATCAGTTTTGATCATTCCTGCATTGGTTACATTTGATTATCAACTTGATTGTATTGAGAAACACCTAAGACATTAGTAAAGCACACCTCTGGGTATGTCTATGAGAATGTTTCCAGGGACAATTAGATCATGAGAGCTTTGGCCTAACAAATGGTTTATAATCTACTAATGGATTCAAAATTTGAATAGACTAATGGGAGGTAGTGGAACTGTGGAAGGTCCTCACTAGAAACATGATCTTGGGTGCTGAATCTTGTCCTCACTCCTTCCTGTTTCTGTTCCTCTCTGCTTCCTGCAGAAATAGCCTCCTCCTCCATATGTTCCCACTACTATGATGTTCTGTCTCACCATAGGTCCAGAGTCCATGCACGGTAGGACTTTGGACTGAAATTTCTGAAACCATTAAGCCAAAATACATAAACACTTTAAGTTGTTTTTCTAAAGTATTTGTTCATAGCCACACAAAAGTAGCTAAAACAACTCCAAACATTTTATCTACCTTAATCTAACAGGTAGAAGATTTAGAAAAAGATTAAGAATCCAGAGCTCCAGAGCCTTCAGTAAAGTTTAAAAAAAAAAAACCACTAACGTACAGATCAAATGCCCATTCCTAAGCTTAAGACTCTAGGAATTGGTTCAAATCCTCTAAAGTCTACATCAAAGATTTTTTTTTTTAATTCCTATGTCCCTACAAATTCCCTGTAGAAGTATTTTTATAAACACTTTAACTTTGTGAATTTGAACTAATGCAATATTGATTAAAGTCTTACTTCAGGTACTAATTTTGAAATACAAAGCATCTAGATCTTAAAAATAACTTTAGACAAAAAAATCAGATTTCATTATTCCAAAACTGGCTAAGTATAAAACTGATTATACTACTGTTCCCTGACCTATTTGCTATGTCACTTTTATCAGTTTAAAAAAAAATCTGTTTTCCTTTGTTAAGACCATATCAAGACTTTTTTTCACATATTTAAAAAAAGTGATGATTTTGGGCATTATTGTGCCTTTTTTTTCTTTTGGCGGTATTGTGGTCTAAACTCAAGGCCTCATGCTTTGCTATGCAGGTGCTCTAACAACTGAGCCACTCCACCAGCCCTATTTTCAAGACAGGGTCTCAACTATTTGCCTGGGGCTGGCTTTGAACTGTGATCCTCCATATCTCTGCCTCTTGAGTAGCTAGGATTACAGTGTGAGTCACTGGCACCAGGCCCATTATAGTGCTTATCTCAATGTCTACCGCTACTAAATTTTAAAATCTTTTTATACTCTAACTCTGTCATTAAGTGTATATTAAGTGAACTTTAGAGTGCTCATGCTAATAATAATAATTATTATTATTATTATTATAATAAAATCACTAACTCTAGATAGTAAGAGTCAGATGTCATGAACTCTTACATAAGGAAGGCCAAGCAATTGCTGTTTTATAATTTAGCAGTAAAATTGAAAGATATTAAAAATAATGTCAAGAAAATAGAAGACAATATTGAAGTAATAATATGTTACAATACTAACTGGTATCTTCAAAGAACCTGTTCTCACCACTTTATAAAACCATTCATTCTTATGGGAAAATGAGAGTTCAATAAGTTTTGAGCTATATAAGGTTGTAATGAAATAAAACAACTTTGTATATGCGAATCTTTCAGAAAGTGTGGCTTGAATTTTTAAATAAAAAATATGATTCCTCAAATATAATTTTTTATATCATTTTAATAACCTTTGCAGAAACCTCATCTATAAGTTTATGTTTGTTCTGAAGAACAAATCATCATCATTGCATGTATCAAGCTTTCTTATTCACAATTTACCAATGGTACGTCAGAAGATCAAGAGGTTTATGAACTGCTATGGAGTCACCAATATATTTTTATATTTTCTACAATTTCTTTGAAAGAAGACAAAAAAGACTCAGTAGCTTATAGAAGTGGTATGAATTCAGGAACTCCAATGAGTCATCTAAATTTGTATGATCTTCCAACAACTGTAATTTTTACTCTACTACAGTAATTTTTTTCATTCACTTTGCTGAAAGAGAAAATGCAACACCCTTTTTATAAAAATAAGTCAAAAAAAGCACCCGGTGGTACAGGGGTTTGCACTTAGGGCTCCATGCTTATTAGGCAGGCACTCTATCATTTGAGCCACTATGTCTACAATACATTAATATTATGACTATAGGATGATAGTTATTAAATGGAGCATCTTTTCTGCTGATGACACAACTATGAATCAAGAATTATTATCAGTCTATTTATAAATCTTGCACTATCAGCTAAAGCTTGTCAAGATATACCAAATTCACAAAGACAAGGAGTTAAGGTAACTTAGAATCACAGAAAGTTAATGTTCAGAAGGAACCATAAGGCCTTGAGTTCAATCCTTCTATTTTAAACACTGTGGAAAGTGAAACCCAAAGAGCTTAAGTGAATCACTTCTGGTCTCGCAATTTATATGTAGCATAAGCTCAGCCTATTTTACACATACACACATATCTTACCTTTCTGGTGATGACTTAGAAGTGACAGGATGCCCACGGACACCTTTTTTATTTTTATGGTCTAGAGAGATGACTTTATTTCTTAGGCTTCTTTTCCACTAGGAAAAAAATACATATGCAATTTTAATAATAAATATAAAAATATAACTTTAATTGCCTCATTATTTAGGTATTCAAAATAACCAGCCAAAATCTTAGTAATACACAGAGAAAAAATAAGCACAATCTACAGAATGGCTGCCGTTGAAATGTAAGTTCACCAAAAACTAACAGGAAGACATTTTAAAATATCAAAATAACAATCAAGAAATGAACACTTTGAGATTCCAAAGCTTAAATAACTATAAAAATTAAAAATGTGTTTTGGAAGTAATAGGTGGGGAAGTAGCTTCACAATAGAACAACTGCCTAGCATGCAACTGGGTTTATTTTTCAATTACCTAATTTTGAAGTACTTTATATGAAGTAATAAAGATTATTACATGCTAGGCTAAATTATTAAATGCCTAGGACTCTGAAGTAATTGCACTTATAATAATAAGAAGGCATTAAAATTGGTTTCCTATGAATTGCTGCATGACAAATGGGAACGAGTCAGACCTCCTATTAGCAGAGTGTAGACCTCATAGGACTGGGAAAAAAAGGTTAAAATTCATTTATTTAATATGTAAGTAGTGCCAGCTTAGGCAAGTAAGTTGTTTGTATTCAGTATGCTCTGTTTCCTTATCTGAAAACGGATGTAGTAACAGTAACTACTTTAAAAGTATATATAGTGGGAAATGGGCATGGTGGTGCACACCTGTATTCTAGCAGCATTTGGGAGGTTGACATAGGAGGATCTCAAGTTCCAAGGCCAGTATGGCCTATAGAAGAGTCCTCGTCTCAAAAAACTAAGGCTGGGCTGGCAGAGTGGCGCAAGCAGTAAAAGTGACGGCCTAACAAAGGTAAGGCCCTGAGTTCAAAGCCCAGTGTTAAAAAAAAAAAAAAACCTAAGGAGTAGGGATGTAGCTCAGTGATAGAGTGCTTGCCTAGCATGTGACAGGCCTAGCATGTGACACTGGGTTCAACCGCTAGCACTTTAAAAAAAAAAAAAGGGGGTGTTAATGATTACATATGTAATTAAGTTTTAAAGATTATCTTCATCTAAAAGACATATGCATACATGTTGTTCATATTAACACTGTTTACAATAAGCAAAAGATGGAAACAACTCAGATATGCATCAACAGATAAATAGCTAAGCAAAATGCTGCTTAGATATTCAGCCAGGCATCGGTGGCTCACACCTATAATCTTAGCTAAAAGGGAGGCAGAGATCAGGAGGGTCACTGTTTGAAGACACTCGAGACAAAAAGTTCATCATACCCTTATCTTGAAAAACCCAACACAAAACAGGACTGGCAGAGTGGCTCAAGTTGTAGAGCACCTGCCTAACAAGTAAGAGGCCCTGAGTTCAAATCCCAGTACCACCAAGAAAAATGAGATATTCAGCCCTAAGGAGGAAAGAAATTCTGAAACATGCTACAACATGAATGAATCTTGACATAATACTAAGTGAAATAAGCTATCAAATAGAGAAATACTGGATGGTTCCTCTCATATGGTATGAGAGGGATCAAACTATAGTCAGAGAGTAGAATGGTGGGGATGAGGAGAGGGGATAACAGGCAATTATTGTTTAGTGGATAGAGCATGTCAATTTTGCAAGATAAAAAGACATCTAGAGGTGGATGATTATGACAGTCACACAATATGAACGCACTAAATGCTACTAAACTATACCCTTAAAAATGGATTCAGTGGGGATGGGGGACGGGGGCGGGGTGTGTAGCTCAGTAATAGAGTACTTACTAGCATTCAGGATTCCCAAAAAAAAAAAGAAAAAGAAAAACTGTTAAGACGGTGAAGTTCTCAACTAAAATGAGCTTTAAATATTAGGACACCTATTACTTTTTAATAACTAGAGATCTAGAAAAAGGGTAGGTTCCTGATATGATCAGCAACCCAATAATTTCAAATTGCTTTTTTTTTTTTTTTTGTGGTACTGAGGTTTAAACTCAGGACCTACACCTTGAGCCATTTCAGCCCTGTTTTGTGTTGGGTATTTTTGAGATAGTCTTGCCCACTATTTGCCTGGGCTGGCTTTGAACTGCAATCCTCCTGATAGCTGCCTCCTGAGTAGCTAGGATTACAGGCATGAGCCACTAGTGGCACCCGGCATGTTTGTTTAACTCTTCTATAACTTCAATAATTTTTGTGTTTTGGCAGGGAGCAGTATGGGGTTTGAACTCAGGTCTTCACACTTGCTAGGAAGGCACTCTACCACTTGAGCCATCCCCAGCCAGCCCTGTCTGCTTTAGTTATTTTTCAGATAGGGTCTTCCACTTTTTGCTTGGGCTGGCCTGAACAGTGATCTTCCTACTTAAACCTACCAAGTATCTGGGATGACAGGTGCATACCAGTATGCCCACCTTTTTTGTCGAAATAGGGTCTCCTTAACCCTTTGCCCAGGCTGGGCTTGAACTGTAACCCTCCCAATCTCTGCTTCCCAAGTATGTGGGATTATAGGTATTTGCCACCACACCCAGTCATGTTATGCTTTAACTGTCCATTTCTTTCTGTATTACATCCATTTTTGCTTTATCAAGCAAACATGTTCCAGATTATTATATTTTCTTATAAATTATCCCTTTTATTATTCTGTAATGATGCTTAGGGTTCCCAACAATGCTTGTTTTGGGCTTTGATGTCTACTTTGTTTCATTGTAATATTGCTAAATCAGCTTTATTTTAGTCATTGTTTTCCTAGTATAACTTTTTTATCCATTTGTCTTCATTGTCTTTGTATTTAAGGTATATAATTTGTAAAGAGCTTCTATCTCTGTATTTCAACAAAAGAGGTTTGTATAAAAAAAAAGATGGTGTTTATGTTATGTGTATTTTACCACAATTTAAACGTTATCAAAAAGATGAAAAAAACACACTTTTTATCACCATAGCCCTGCAGAGTAAAAAAGAACAAAATCATTCAATAAAAATGAAGTAAAGCTCAGAGAATAAACTTGGCCATTGAACCAAAGTCTGACATAAAAACCTATGTTCTTTTCTTTGCTCTAATAGATCTAAATTACACAAATTCTCAGAAATCTTTCCTACCACTGTCTTAACCTGAACACATCTGCCACCCTCATTTCACTATAAGATGTAAATTTGTCAAAATAAAGTTTAAAATATTTCTTCACTTCATTTTCACTAGCACCACCTAAGTTCTGATTCTTCCTTGTTCTGACCTGTATTCTTGCAATATTTTCCTGATGTGTTTCCGTATCAGTGGTTTGTTCTCTTTCCAATCCAGCATCCCTCTATCATGAAAGAGAAATCCTTCAAGAATGCATATCTGGTGTTATTCTCCTATTTAAATTCCTAAGTTGTGGATATGTGGCTCAAGTGCTAGAGTGCCTGCCTACCAAGCTCAAGACCCTGAGTTCAAACTCCAGTACCAGCAAAAGAAAAAAAAAAAGTCATTCCATATTACTTGCAAAAGAAAAAAAAAAAAACTGAGTTCTCATTTCTCACTTCTTCTCATGAATCTTACATCATGATAGACTAAATTATTTGCAATTCTCTGAAAGTGTCATGTGTTTCATCCTTTTACAACCCTGCACATTTCTTCCTTCTAGAAATGCACATTATTCTCCCTAGTTCTCAGTGTCTGCTAAATCTATTATCACCTGTGCAGATTTCCTCACCCTCTGGAAGAACAAATCACTCTCCTGTGAAAGCACTATACATTTTACATACCTCTACTACCAATAACACTTTCATAGTGATTTATAACATTTGCTTACATCAAGCTCCAATCAGGACTGGCAATGGTATGGCTTAAAAGTTGGATTCAAAAGTATTGGATAACTTCCCACTTCCCATCATCTCACTTATCTCACAGTAAATACAACTTTCACATTTTATGTTATTGATTTTTTTTGCACTCTGCTGACCATGTTGTAATAAAATTTGCCTGTATTTACAAAATGTGGACTGATCAGTCTCTGAGCCTCATATTCTGTACCGAAAAAAAAATTACTATCAAATGAGAATTCTTAAACCATTTTACGAAATAAAATTCAGTAAGCCCACAAATTTATTGCATGTGGTTTTGACAAAGTGCAGTCAAAAACAATTATTAAAAAAATCGGAGTCTTTACTCCCATTTCTTGCATGGGGGCAGGAACTGTTTTCACTTTTTTGTCCATTTCTCCCCACTTTTAGCCTGCTATACTAAATTTCTTTCCCAAGGTACTACTTTTACTATAAAAAAATCAAAATTTCAAAAACAAAAATTTTTAATTCTCATGCACACATTATACAGCTCAGTTGATACAGAGCAGCTCTCCAAAAGTCCCACGTTATCATCAGTTGTGTTAAAATCATTGTGAGAGCTGCCTCCCAAAAAGCAAATGGTGTCCAAAAAGCTGTGAAAATATGCCTCCCAAAAAGCAAATGGTGCCCCAAAAACTAAAAAGTTAACGTGTTTAATTTAAGTAATAAAGTGAAAACCGAAGTTGGGTAGTATTATGGGAAAAATGAATCAAGCATCCACAACACAGCACTGAACTCTATGCATCCTGAGCATTCACAGTTTTTCCTCAATGGTGGTTTCCCTGGAACCATATACCTAGGACACCACAGTCTACTGTAAACACATTGATACAAACTTAAGATAACTGTAATAAACCAGTAGGGGAACTAACTAAAATGTTACTTTGAATATCAGTAAGATGTTTTAGTACCTATCTCCTGTTCTATCACTATCTAAGTATAACATGGATTATATCTCAAGATATTATAAATAGAAAAAATCACTTAGATTTTAATCAATTGTTCCTTATATTTAATATCACATTAAAATACTTACATATTTTTAAAAACTGGATTACGATATCAGACTGAGTAACAATTTGGGCTTCATTTAAGACTATGAACCTACGCTAGCTCTGGAAAATAAAAACCAGGTAAGAATTCCCCCACCATCTTATCATGAATAGGACTTTATTCATGTGCATATTTTGAAAGTTATCAGATTGCAAATCAGAAGGTA